TTCCTAGTCTGTCTTAGTCTGGAAGCTCCGCTGAAACCTGTTCAGCATCCTAGCAACACACAAACTTCCACTGACAGACAGGTGGTGGCTGGGCATGAGGTGCATTGGCCGGGAATTGAACCCAGGTCTCCCACATGAAAGGTGAGAATTCTACCAGCGAACCACCACTTCTCCTTCTAGCAAGCCTACCGTTAAACCCACATCGTTCTATGACCCTGTGACTCTGGCCTATCACCCACCCCGAGCCCGGCAAGTAAGTGAGTTATTCAGGTTATTCCCAAGGCCAGCCAAGCTTAGTCACCACCCACGCCTGCCCTGCTGTGTGCTGAGAACCATGGCCGACCTCCCCTGGGGTGATGGCATGGCGTCCTGCCCAGAGCTGGCGCTCCACACCCATTGATGACAATGATAAGGGTTGTATTTCCTCCAGAACGATTCCAGAAAAGATGTTTCTTATTGTTAGGCGCAGGCATGTATGTAATTTCTCAAGCCCCCTTTGTACTGACCGAAGCTAAAGTGATTTTTTTTGGACACTGAAGTCAATTTGTCACAGTGATGCATCGATCTAATGATTCCTTTCATAAAACTAATTCCGAAATGTAGTCTGTGCGGAAACTTTAATTCTTTTCCCAGCTGTAATATTTTAACCTCTTCAGAAGAATACCTCTGGCCGGCTCTTTTGTGCTGGCTGTTTTGCAATGACCTCTAGCCAAAAGCAACAAAGCTTTGACCTAGACCTGAAGGTATAAAGGACTGATAATGACTTAATGTGTTAACCCTCCTAGATATAGCACCCTACCCTACAGGGATGGAGGGATTCTGGCAGCCTGCAAGCTACCTGCATGGTGGTGCAAACAGTTAACGCTCTCAGCTGCTAGCTGAAAGGTTGGAGGTTTGAGTCCACCCAGAGGTACCTTGGAAGAAAGGCCTGGCAATCTACTTCCAAAATATCAGCCATTGAAAACCCTATGGAGTACAGTTCTACTCTGACACAAATGGGGGCGCCATGAGTCCGAACCAACTCAATGGCAAGTGGTTGGTTGTATGCTGCTTAGGCTTCCTCAATGCCCTTCCCCAAGCCCAGTTCCCTGCCCAGCCCAAGACTTGCCCCCAGGGGGACTGCTGTAGCCTAGAGGCTGGAAGCTTCCCCATGGCTGGAGCTTGCCCCCCCACCCACTTTAGGAAGGAGCCCTGGTGACCCAGTGGTTAAGCACGTGGCTGCACACCGAAAGGTTGGCAGTTTAAACTCACTAGCCGCTCTGTGGGAGAAAGATGTGGCAGTCAGCTTCCATAAAGATTACAGCCTTGGAAACCCTATGCGGCAGTTCTACTCGGTCCTATAGGATCGCTGTGAGTCGGAATTGTCTCAATGGCAATGGAATCGACTCAACGGCAATGGGTTTACCCACTTTTGGAGGGGGCAGCGGTGGTTCAGTGGTAGAATTCTCACCTTCCATGTGGGAGACCTGGGTTCCATTCCCAGCCAGGGCACCTCATGGGCGGCCACCACCCATCAGTGGAGGCTTGTGTGTTGCTAGGATGCTGAACAGGTTTCAGCGGAGCTTCCAGACTAAGCAGAAAGGCCTACAGTCTACTTCCAAAAATCAGCCAATGAAAACCCTATGCACAGGGGTGGATTATCCAATAGGCCAAGTAAGCACAGTGCTTACTTTGCTTACCAGATCATCCGGAGTGAACAATTTCACATTTTTTCACCACATCAAAGATTCTGCTTC